GGAGGGCAAACCATCACACGGCTGACTGAAACAATCATTCCCTAAACAGCACAACCAGAGGATGCATATGTTCAGACAACAGAATGATGACATTCACGGGAGCATCAGTCAGCGTGGCATTAAAGTAAATCCTTCGTTAGCACTCGTTTACAGCGCTGCAAGGAAACTCAGTATTATGTGCCGTTAATGTGACTTGTCATCATGTCGTCGTCCAGAACAGGCTCATGGGAGAAGACTCGATGCCTCGCTGTACACTTGTGCGTGACAGGACGGTTGGACTCTCGTCATCCTGCGTTGCCATGGCACCTGGCGCTCTACACACTGACTGCCAGCCCTTCAAGGCCAACGACAATATAAGACTGTATTAGTGCTGGTAAATCACTGGAAATTGTCATCGAGCATTTAGTGGAGTTCAATTTATCACTTAGCATAAAACTCATAATTCAGCAAAGACGTCAACCAGAGAAAAAATGCAGTGAAGGTCCCATCAGCTGATTAAAAACCTGGAATAACATCAGCCTCTCAGTTTACTGATGTCCACCAACTCCAAAGTCAAACCAAAGAAACGGTTTTCTTTACGAGTTTGTTGCTGTTTTTAGGGCAACAATGAGAGGCCTGTTGTCCGCTGCCTCGTGGCCTCCAAACATCTGGCAAACCAGTGATTACACCTCAGACTACTGGGGAAGTCGGGATAAAGCGACCTATCCAGACAATCCATTATTCCATCAACAGGATGATTCAAAAGCATCCCACATGTGGACACGGCTCCAGTGAAGTCGCTGCTCATGTCAGCGCTGACAGCAGGTCTGAACCAGGCAACATCTGAGCAAAGCAAACCAGTGTGAGCATGAGTGTGTGTCGGTCGGGGAGGTGTGCTCGCGCATATAATAACAAGTCAGGACACCCACAATTTCACTAAGCTCCTCCAACCCTCTCTGGGCTCGACGTGTTCGAACACGAGGGGCTTTTCTTTGACTGCTGGGCTATTTTCTCTCTTCTTTTATCTTTGTGTTCTTATCATGAGGCACATGATGGAGTCAGATTTAAGCTCCGTCAGCTAAAAGCAACACACACAGAAAAGAGAAAAACAAACAGAGAGGCTGATCCTGCAGGTACATGTGACTCCCAGTGACAGAAATAAAGCATTTCATCCACATTCATCATGTCACAGAGACCACCAGTGGATATACCAGTATAAATATACCAGCTCCCCTCCTGGCTCCTGTCATTTTCTTCACAGATAGACGGGATGAAACCTGAGAGAGATGAAGCTTGGTGGTGACACAGGACAACCCCCTCTGGCTGGCAGCAGCTCCAGGCCAGGGCAGGCTCATGTCCTGCACCGCTGCAACAGCCAGCCTTCACAAAACAACTGCCCCACAACCCTCACAGCAACCTCCTGTTTGCTCAAACTGCAAAAAAAGACCTGAAAAGTCCCACGTCTGATGGTACGAACACGTCTGATGCTACGAACACACCTGATGCTACGAACACGCCTGATGCTACGAACAC